GAGAGAGAGAGAGAGAGAGAGAGAGAGAGAGAGAGAGAGAGAGAGAGAGAGAGAAAGAGCACAGTTGCGTCAAAAAACAAGACGGAAAACAAATAAAAATCTGTCGAGCGACGAACCACAGAGAGAAGAAGCCATCCCGTCACCCTTTCTTCTCACACAAGAAGCAACACCCACCGAGGAAATGGCAGCCGCAAATGTTCAGAGGGAAAGGAAAAAAAAACAAGGGACGCAACACACACAGTAGGCCAGCCACCCTCGGTCCAACAAAAAGCATAGCAAACAGCGATTTCGTCAAAACGGACATTTTATACTTTTTGAACGAAATTGAAACCAACTTATTTGGCCCAATAGATATCACCATTTATCTCTTGATGAAGTTGAGGTTCCATTTGGACTCAACTGAAGTTCAGGTGCATCCAAGGAGGACCCTAAGGAGCTAAAACGGTGACATTTCCAGGGTCAAATAGGCGGGTTTCAATTTCGTTCAAAATATAGAAAATGTCGGTTTTAACGAAATCGCTGTTAGCAAGCGAATGTCGGCCGGCCTGGCTAAAATATGCGAAAAAATTTAAAAGCAACAGAACAGCAGGTGAGTGTTCCTCTCGCTCTCTATCCATCTTCCAGTTCCCGGTACAGCTTCCCCTTTTGAACCAGCGAGATCCTATAACAATACGCAAAGAGAACAGCAGTTATCCCTCCCTCTTTTTTTCCGGTGAAATGCCTTCTTTTCATTGGCCCGAGTAATTGTATTCTTTTGTTTTTTTTTTGGGGGGGGGCGGAATGTAATTGTATTCGCACGTTGCGGCTGCTATATAGGCCCTACCACGAGAAGAGTACAAAATCTAGAAAAAAGAGGAAACTGGTAGATAAGGCCCGCGCAAAACCCTTTTTGGTTTCCCACGCCCAGCCTTTTTGCGTTTGGCAAGGGAGGGCTATGGACACTGCAGTCCGTTGGATGTAAAAATCTGGCAGCCGAGATCTGGTGCCGACCGCTTGGCTTCTTCCTACCAGATTATGAACCGGGCCCTGTATCCTACCAGATTCATTTCCGCGTAGGCCGTCCTTGCCAAACGTGAAAACTTTGGGCGCGAAATGACCTGGGTGCCCTCCACCCCTCCGTCCGGGACTCACTAACGACATGCAAGGCGCCAGAGAGATTTGAAAAACAAAACAAAAAAAACGACTGAAGCCGCCAGAGAGGCCAGAGAAAGTGAAGTGGTGGGTGGTTGCCCTTCCGCGGGACATCCCTTCAATTTGGAACGATACACAGAGCAAGAGAAGATCAGCATGGTTTCTGCGCTTTCAACGATAACACGTTCATAAATCGAGAAATAGTCCGGATTACCTTTCAAAAAATCAAACGAGAAAGGGGAAAAAAAATGTTGTGGCTGGATTCGTGGTAGCTGGACAGCAGGGTATAGATAGATTCATTGTACCTGGATGGTTCCTCTGTATATGGTTTACTATACAATACTCGTACTACTGAAAAATCAAACAAACGACTATAATACACGCACTATTATAAACAAAACGACTAGTCAACCATAGATAGACTCGATGTGCAGGTGTGTCCTTCGGGACATCCCTTAAAATTGCAACGACAGAAGATAAGAATGGCCCCTGCGCACGAGCGCAAAAAAGGGAAACAAAAAAAAATAAAAATAAAAAAAATCCGGTACGAGGTCAACCATTACACCAAAGGAAAAAGGTGGTTTTAGATAGCTTCGCTCTACCTGGACCGCATGTACCGCCATTCCACGGCCGCCACTCAAGGTGACAACCAGCCCCTGCCACGTCACTGCATCCACGATTCCGGTCACGGGTTGCTTGTTATTAGTCTGGTAACGCTTGACTGCTGCCTCCAGCTTGATGGTGAAAACATCACCTGAATCATTCCTCAGCTGGGACATGCATAAAAAACAAAAGAAGGAGAATGACGAAAAGGAAAAAAACGTTTCAACATCGAGGAGGAGGCAGAACGACAGGCAAGAGAGCAAAAACAGCATGATAGTCACAGAAAGTAAAATCATGGCCATCGTCATCGTCGGTATACAGCGAACAGAACAAGGACAGAAAGAAAAGATAGAGTCCAACAAAGTTAAGCTGTCAAACAGAAAACCAATCGATGGTGCAGACATACTGGACAATCAATCAATGGAATAAACAGTCAATCAATGGAATAGACAATCAATCAATGGAATAAACAGTCAATCAATGACATGGGAGACAAGCAATCGACGAGAGAGAATGACTCGATCACACAGTTGAAATCTATCAATGACAATTAATCAACGCCGTACTACCATCAATGAGATACTAAACAATCAATCAGTGGAATGACATTCTAGACAATCAATCAATGACGCACGAGACAATCAGTAAATGACGGACGAGACAATGAATCATCAATGAAATAGACAATAGATCAATGACATAGGAGACGACCAATCAAGGACGTAGGCAATCAATCAATGACACGTCTGTGAGGTAGGAGGTGCGAAGCCATTCCAAGCGACCTTCATCACCAGCATTCCCCCGAATGGGAAAAGTCATAAGACCTCCCCGCAACGAAACCTTTGTAACCATTTCCCCCCCCAGACGGGGAAAAAGGCGCCGCGGGCCCCAAAATCACTTTCGGCGTCATTTTTGCCCCCTGCAAAACACTTTCTCGCCATTTTTACACAGCAGCCGTTACCGGCCCGGACAGGGTGCAAAAATGACACCATAAGTGATTTTGGGACCAAAATGACACCATAAGTGATTTTGGGACCTGCGGCACTTCTTTTCCCACTTGGGGGGAAACGGATACAAAAGTTTGGTCGCGGGGAGGTCTTATGACTTTTCCCATTCCGGATCCTAAGCAACAATCACGAAATAAGGGCAGCATCATACTCACACCATCACTTTTTTCGGCCGAGCTCTGGGCGTATTTGCGGTCATATACATCGAGGAATGGCTGTAATTATGGTCAGATACGTCCAGGAAGCTCCTCCTGTGAGTATGCCCTAGGTAAGCGGGTGCAGATACCTACCTACCTACAACAGCGTCCACTCATCTACAATCTCGATCCCCGTATGGGGGGGGGGGGAAGGAAATCCCGATCCCCCTCCTCCAACCAATCACAGCGCGTTTGTCATCGCCCTCTACACGTTCCCGCTGCACCACACAAAATCGAAGGCCCCCCTCCCAGACAAACACACACGGAGTCCTCAGGCCAAATGCATCCTGGGCAGAGTCTGTGCCGGTTCAACCTCCTGCTCAGTCTGTCAGGACGATGGCGACGGCGATGGCGATGGCGATGGCGTACGTACACACGTACCTGTATCAAGTCCTTAAGGCACACAACGATAGGTCCATGATCCCCTTTTCGAACAACAGGCCAGGCAGAAGCGCAATGCAGCACAGAGAGACAGACCAGAAGCAAGCAGAGGCCGAGGCATGACCTCATCAGCGCCATCTTCGCTCCTCAACAGACGAGCTAACTAGCTATCTCACTCTCTCTCTCTCTCTCTCCAACAGCGACGTGTCTCGCAAGAGCTGCGCCACCCGGCTCAGCATCAGCGATGAGGAGAGTATCATCGACTGAGAGAAGTTGGTTCTACAGAACTGCCCTCTCTTTTTATGAATGATCGGCCCCACCGGTGTCCAGTGGTGTCTGAGATGTTGGTTCTACAGAACTGCCCTCTCTTTTTATGAATGATCGGCCCCACCGGTGTCCTGTGGTGTCTGAACTGGGGGCAAAAGAAAGAAAAAAGAAAGAAAAAAGAAGGAAAAACAGAACGCTGTTTTCATACTATCAAATTTTTCCCAAAAAAAAAACAAAAAAACACTATCAAATATTGATCTGATTGCGTCTGGATTCGAACCTCGGCCTACATTCCAACAGTCTATAGACGTATCAACTGATCTACGCCCATTGGGCGCCAGGGGAGTCGGGCCTTGGGCCTCGCCGCACAACTCACCAATACTCAGAAGTTATGGCGGTGCATCTTTCCGTGTATTGGCGAAAAGTTCATTCTCGTTTGCCTATTTGGTGAGTGGGTGCGGCCTGCTGGGTCCTCCCTGAACCCCGTGACGAGTGCAATCGACCCCTGGGGCCTCGCCAGTAGTGTGACGAGTTCGCTCTGTTCTTTGCCGCCGGATCCACCGCCGCTCCCACTTCACGTGCTCGTCAGGCCTTTGTCGAGTCTGGTTCTGGCGCCAAGGTGCTGGGAACTGCCCGCATCATCCGCCAAATGTGCGAAGCGGAGGAGAAACAGCCGCCAAAAACTCTGGTCGTAATCACGTTTGGTCAGCCGTGGGGTGAGAACATCATGAGCTTCTCCGGTAGTGGCGACCCACTTGAGGAAAGCGAGCTGCCACCTACCCGCCACTTGGCGTGATGCGAGCGAAGTCGTGAATAAACTCCAACCATTGGACCCGGTTTAGGAGGTGCCAAAGGCAGCGATAACTATGGATGTTGGAGCGGGAAAGGAAAAACCATCCATGGCAAAATCAGACTGGCAGAAGCAGGGGCATGATTCTGGCAGTCTCACCGTGGATTGACTGCGGCATTGCTTGCCAGGCCTCCTTCAAAATCGCAGGAAGGAGTAGAGTGGAGGGAAAGGCCCAATGGTGAAAAATGGCAGGCTACGGGCCGAACCCCTTCTACCCCCGTCATTTGGCCTTTTCCGCAGGACTGGTCAGCAAAGACCCCAGAAATAAGGGCTTGCGGGCAATCTGGGGCCCCGTCTGAAACTAGACCAGTAGAGTAGCGAAAAGGAGGAGGGGCCAAGGCCAAGGCTGAGGCTCCGGCCGGAGGCTGAGGATTGGACCGTCAATTCGATGGGCCGCAAGGTTCAGCGCAGGCAGCTGGTATTTCGACCGGCAGAGTAGAGCCATTCAATGCTTTTTCTCTAGTCGGATTTTGAGCGCTACCTCCACGAACGCTTGGATCTTCGTACCTGCAACGGCAGAGAAACAATGTGAGATTTTCCATTTCCGGTTCGCGTTCACGGCGCGAAAATCCGGGTGAAAGGGGAGTATTTCAACTTCAGGTATTTTTCCAATTCCAGCCATAGCCGTTTACCTTTACTTTCAAGGAGCTTCAGAGTTTTACTAGTTAGTTTTGCAAGAAGCAAACTTTGTAAAGATTCAGGTAAGAGTCCCGGTAGCCTCAAGAAGCTTAAAAAAAAAAAGAAAAAAAAAGGGGGAGCGTGCGAAATAGGAAAGAACCAACTACGAGCTACTGTAGTTGAATCGCCGAATAAGAAAGATTGCTCTAATAGCCTGAAAGGAGCTGCACGGCATTATAACTCATCTTCTGCTAACGTTCACCTAGCTGTTTTAACGGGTGACGAACCACTTTCTGTAACGTGCGACTTTCTGCGCGGTTGCAATAAGGGGTCCTAAGTTGGGAAGGTTGGGCAAATTACGGGAGGTCATGATCGGTGAGAAATTGCATCAATGTCCTTGCATTTTCGTCTTTTTCGTCGCTTTTTTTTTGAATGGCTTGGTTCGGAGCTGGGTGTGTCATGGGACGGCCGGGTGATTGATTGATTGGCCGGAGGGCTGGCACGCCGCCGCGCGCGCGATTAATAAATATTGACGTCGTTTCTTTTGTTTCGGTTCCAAACTTTTGGGCGCGGACATCGCGTGGGAAATTGCTTCGTTCTTTTTGAATTTTCCTTTTAAATCTTTTTTGAATTTTGTCGGGCCCCGATGGCTCTCAGAATTTCGGACTTTTTCTTCTGGCATTTGTGCTTTCTGTTTCTTCGCATTAGATAGGAATTTCGTAATCAGGATTTTCCTTGCCGCGCAGCGCTTTTTGTCTACGCGCTTCTTCATGGGGCTGCAACGGAACTCTGATTAGTAGGCACCTTTAATCGTGTGAGTAAGTGTAATTTTGAGCGGGCTTCATTGTAACCGTATTCTTCTTCTTGCACTTCGTCTTTCGCGCCCTTCTTCTCTTTCTTTTGCTGCGTTTTTGTTGCCGCGGTCTGCATGATCGGATCGATGCGTGGAGAGCGGCTACGCCCCCCACGCTGTCGGGCGCATCGGTCCAGCACCGCACGGGGCAGCGCGGGACCCTCCCGGCCGCGTCATGCAGGAGTTGGTCTAAGTCCTCGTCGCGAATATACATGGAGCTTCCGCAAGCCGCTCCGACCGAGTGCGCCAGCCATACCTCTCGCGAGCCCCTACGACAGGACAGGGCCTACGCGAGGCACGACTTACCTCCACCTTACGGGAGCTGCCACCTCCCTTCAGTGGGCGTATCCCCGCCGAGCTACCAGTCCACAGTACGAAAGCTAATCAATTGCAATCGTAGAGGTGGACCAGCCGAGGGCGTTTCTCGTTCGCTGTAGCATAGGGGGTACTCGCGGTATTACGCCTCTATCGAACCCGCATGCGAATCTGCATCTTGGGGGGCTGAAGTCCCAAGCGCAACCCGTCGTCGGTCGACTAGGACGCATCCCACACACCACGCGCACACCACTCTAAGAATTAAAAACAAAAACACACACACACACACATACGCACGTACATATACAAATACAGAACGACACAAAATAAACAACGCGACAACACTCCTAGTCCCTTAGTAGCCATCCCATAACTTTCTGACGCGGAAATCAGATAGGCGTCGCGCGTGAGACTTAGTATAAAATCGCGCGGACGCAGGGCTAACTCATATCGATTCGCAATGCAAGCATACGCAAAGCGATCGCAATGATGACGAACAATGTAGTACCCATACTCATGCGGTCCTCGTTAATCCCGAGGGTCGCATTCGACACTCAAGTATCGGCTGACACGAACCTTGAGGGTTAATCTCTCGACGCTGGATAACCGTCAAGTGCGGTTAAGAACCACACCCTCTTTTGCTTCCTGCGGAGAGTGGGTGGTACACAGGTTCATACCTGTGGTGGCAATCGTCTCTTATTGCCCTGGAGAGCAACTCCATTATCTAGGGTCTGGAGATAAGTCAAGGGGTTTGACTTTGACGGCTGCCACGGACTACAACGTCCAACTATAAATTTCTGAAAAGCAAAGGATAACAGGGGATCTCCCTTTTCTCTCAAAATTATAATATGTTTAACCCTTACGCACGGTCACGGTAATCCGCGCGAAACACTCAAGACATATATATTTACATATATATAAAGGGTTATTAATATAGGACGATCACTTCTCACAGTCACAGTGGACCTCCACTCAGCCATATATACATATGCATGTGAGCGCAGACAGTCAAATCCAAAGTCCGAATCACCAAACATACCTGCAATCACATCGAAGATCCAACCAAAAAGTCTAGGAACTACACGGGGTCAACTTCAAGCATCCTCTGCACTCACACCCCTTGCTTTTAGGCATACAAACCTCACTCTTCTGCAACTCCTCAAAATAAAACACTCAGTATTTTTCTTTAAATGACCATTCAAATAAATTCCGGGTGAAAACACAACAAAACACTTTAAATCACAAGGCTAAAGCCTTTAGGTTGAGTGGCAAAACTGGATTGGAGTTGAGTCGTAAACCGACGAATCGGCAACCGACCTGTTATCAGTGATAACAGACGACGATCCTCGTAGGATCAACCTGAATCTAGCCCAAATACTGAATCAATTGGTCAAGAAGACGTGTAACACAAAACAGACCAATCCCCAAGCTAAAGTCATAAGTGTATGGAGAATACAACTCCATAACACACTCTCACCCAAGACCCTTCTACAAACTAAGTCTAGGTCTGCCTCTAAGCAAGTGCCCAAAGAAAGGCATATTGCAAGAATCGCCACCTATCAAAATATAATACAACTCCTCTAACCTAAGAAAATTCCGGCAGCGCTTCCCGTAGGAAAAATGTCTTTCAAGAAATTATACAAAGCTAAGTTCAAAATCTACAGTGACTTTGACTTTTCAAAGTTGAATTTTGTCTCCCTGAATTAGCAAAAATTTGGGCAACACTCCCTTTAGAAAAGGAGATGTTCGAGATTGTTACTAAGCCAAAAAATTCAGAAAAGTTAGACCCTGAAAAAGACAAAGTCTGACTAACTCCTTGGTTTTGTATAAATTTCGGCAGTGCTTCCCGTAAAGAATGTGGCTTACCAAGATTTATACAAGGCCAAGTATAACAAAAGATCCCAGAAAATGCAAAAATTGACCTAAGTAAAAAAACTTAGCTTAGAAAATGCAGGAATTGAAACTAACTCCTATGGCTCTAGCACGTGGCGAGCGACTAAAGCAATTACCTATCAACCTAAAACTTAGACTAAGTAGTGGACTCACTCAGTCACATGCAGGCCAAGCCACAAAGGTAAGTACTCTCACCATCCAGAGTAAACTTAACAAACAATAGTTCATAGTCTTTCAATGATTTATCCCCTTTATACCCAGCTTACATTGGGCATAAAGCTAGACCACCCAAACTTATGGAACATGTCTAGCTCAGCCATAGAGTATACACAAACACAAGGCACAACAATTTTTCTCTTCTTTGAACATATGACTAGGCCACCCTAGTCGCCCTGAACTGTTTA